AAATTATTCTTGCTTAAAGTTATAAAAAATTTTTATTATAAAAAATTTGCTTGATTTCTATTGACTCACCCCCAAATACTGTATAAAAAACTGCACCACAGACAGACGCCTTGTATAGATTACATTTCTTTACATGATTAGTCTTTCGAATAAATTCTTGAACCAATCCTTTTCTTGATTTGCATAGATTTTTATTTTTCAAAAAATTATAGCGGTTTTGTGTTCATTTAAAATAAATAATTCATAAATTGTCGCTTAGTTCTAAACTTTTTTAATAATCCTTTGTTCTGCGAAAGTGGTTTAAAGTTCCATAGGTAATGAATTCAAAATACATTAAAAATTTCAAAGTAAAGAAATATTAAATTTAATAAAAACAAAACAAAAAAAGTGAAGGTATATTTTTATTGAAATTAAATCTGACTCGGATCGTTAATCACTACTCATATGGCATGATGTACTTGCGAATGAACGAATGTATACAGCTAGTTTAGTTTAATCAAAAAAAAAATTAACCATGTAAATTTCTGCGCAAATAAAACACCATTGCCTTTATTAAACAGTGTTATTTATGACACGTATGTGTCATTTAAGATTTCTTAAAAATGTCTGTATCTTTTTTTCTTGCAAATACTCTTTTTTGTTTGGAATATATCTCTCCAGGTCTATCTCTCAATTCATTTTCAATCTCGCTTGCCAAGCGGTCATATTCTTCAAATGAAACCCCCATATAAGGAGCCAAAAATTCTTTCATAAGGCTTACATAGTATGTAGCAGAATCGCAATAAAATTCTCCCAGACCATCACCTCCAAGCGGAATTTTTACTGTTTGAGATGATATAAATTCGGCCCATCCAGTCATTTGAAGGTAATCTTCTAAGTGCGTTATTAGATCAAAATCAATTCCACGTTCTTTGTGCCACGAAATATCTAAAGGATTATGAATAAATTGAGATGATATTTCTAAATACAGTCGACTCTGGATATAACGAACCTTTTTATAATGAATTCACTTTATAACAAACTTTTTTAGCAAATTTATTATAGAGTTCGGTATAAAAACATAGTAAATTCTCTATAAGGAACTTTTTAAAAATTTTTACATATAGACCCTCAGGGTTCGTTATATGCAGAGTCGACCGTATAAGTTTTTAATAGATAAACATACGTGCGTCATTCATTCGCTTAAAGGCCGGCCCACTAGTATCATCATAATCATAAAGTGTATGTCCAATCTAATATTAATAATTTCCAAATCTGTGAATATTAAATCGCAAAGTTAAAAAGAAGCACCTTTCTTACCTCTAACCAACCTCCTGGCTTTAATACTCTAAAAACCTCAAATAAAAATCCTTGAAAATTATTTTTTGTAAAGAAGTCTGTTTTATTTCTGGAAAAAACATAATCAAATTCATTGTCGGGAAATGGTAGCATTTGATGAATGTCACAACTAATAAATGTAATATTATCATTATTAGAATTTTGTGTGGTAAAATCAATTGCGTAGAACTCCGAATTTAGATATTCAGCAGAAACCTAATAATTTAATATAAAATTAATCATTATCGATATCAAAAGTTACCAAATTCATAAAATGGCAATAATAAGTTAAATACTTCAGAAGTCCAAATGCCAGCCCCACAACTTTATTACAAATATGATAATTTAAGTTTATTGAATTTTTATAAAAATCATAACAACAAATAAACGAGAATTTATTTTACCCAAATTCCAATACTTTAGCACCAGTTCTCAACTTTTCATGAACTGGAGCGCCGATACTGCCATTAAACGCATATTCAAGAGCTTGGTGCGCGTGAAAGTTAATATTTATGAATTCATCTAGATCCTTGATTAGAGAATGGAAAAACCTTTTATTTGTGTTTTTTTCATATTCTTTAATTTGTGAATAATGACTCATTGTTAAAAATTTCAGTTCTTTATTATTTTAATAAACATGAAAGTAAATACAGATGCATTTTATATGTTTAACCTCATTGTGATTACATAATTATTTCACCAAATCGACAAAATCGAATATTCGAACATATATATTTATTATTCACTGAGTAAATTCAATGAATATTGGTGATACAAATTAGAAGATTAAAAAAACGTAACAATATGCAATTTTTAACTTAAATACTATTGGAATTTAGTTTTATATTGTACTTATCGTGAAATAAAATCAAAGAAACTTTAAACAGTTCCTAAACTTAATATTTTGATCGCGTCAG